AGCCAGCCATGCTGGGGAATTTTGGGAGTTGAAGTCCACCCATCTTAAAGTTGCTGAGATTGAGGAACCCTGGGGTGTAGGACTGAAGCATCTCTCTGTTCCACAATAAGAATGGAAGAACACACGAGTTGCACCTTTCAGACTTTGATTGTGCTTTTCTACAGAAGATGAAAAGGATGAGGGGATAACCATGTCTGCCATTTCCAGTGAAAGACCAAAGAGTCCTCCTAATGGAGACCATTGTGAAGTTACAGATGTCCTTGTTGATAGTACCCCCAATACTAGTAAGTACAGAGACATGTGTTATTAAGTGTTGTTATTGAACAACAGAAAGCTAAATGTATCTGTGTTGCTTCTAAAAGCTGTTTTTCCTACTGTCCACTTTGGCATGGAGGAGAGATATGGTAACAAACCAGAATAATGCATCTCCATCCAGTATCCTTTGAAGGAAGCCAATCTTTTGCACTTATTACAAGTGCAATAAGAAATCTCCTTGAAACAGTTTTTACATAGTGATTGTTTTATACATACATGTATTGTTTTAAACAGTTGTTTGTATAAAATCAACTTGCCCAAACTGGTCTTGTGTCCCAGAATTCCTTGCCAAATGTTTACTCATAACATCAGGTCAAGTAAAGGTGATACAGAGTTTCATTGCCAATAATAATAATAATTATATCCTATGATTTCCTGACTTTTTGACTTCCCCAAATAGATGGACCTTAACTAATCCATAAACAGCTTCATAGGAAGTAAACATGTTTAAGTTCAAGAACTCAGTTTCCATGTTTTAATGTTTGGGTCATTTACAAGAATGAAAAGCAAGATGAGTTGAAGATCTGATTAAAGATTTCAGTAATGTACACAATACTATATATCTTTATGAATTTTCCTAACTTATTCTTTTAAAGGTGCACAAACCTGTGAAAGTTTCAAACCAGATCATAAGGAGGATCCAATTCCTTCAGTGGAACCTGAGATGAAATCAGAATCCAGAAGAGAGGAGAAGGTGGGGACAGAAACAGAGTTCCAAGAGGTCACAGTTGACAATGCAGCTCAGGAAGTTATAGACGACTGTTTTCCTGATCCGATTGATGCTTGATCCTATGTGCTCCCTTCTGCCTTCCCCAAGTCTGGGGAACTGGGGCTTCTTCATTCCAAGCTTTCTCAGAATAGTATAATGTCCTTTATAATTACTTACTTGCTAATAGCACAAGCCTGCAAAACCATTTAAAATGAGCCCAAATGTGGTATTCTGTTGTGTTCCTACTCCTAAGAGCATTTATAAAATTAAATATGAGAAATCTAAACTCCATTCTCCCCAAATTGGAATAATTTCTCTTTGCTTCCAAGTCAGTGTTTGGCCTTCAATCCCCAAGATTCCTAGTTCAGCCTAAGTAGACATACAACTGACTAAATTCTATCGAGGAATTCCAGCTGTTCTTACACTGAAATCAGAAACAAAAACTCTGTAGAAAATTTTAGAGCAGGTTTTAAGCTACATCATTGAAATGTTCAGCTGTTGCAGATTTTTGTGATTAAACATAGTGTCTATTTACTTTTGTGCTGAGGGTTTACATGAATCAACATTGGTTCCTGGACCCCAAAATCCAGGGATTAGCAGCAGGCTCCTTAAGCTATGTCACACAGGATGTTCTCAAACTGCCTATGACTTTTTTTGGGTCTTCTGTGCAAAGATGGACAGTGACCTGTTGACAGTAGACCATACGTCCAGAAATTTCCCTCAGCCCATAACTTTCTAGAGCCATCTGTATTATGAACAAAAACCCTTTCACCCCATTTTTGCAATGCAGAGTGTAAGGATTCTTATCATATATTTCTCTTGGACATTTTGAAGAGAATTAGGCAAAAGTATTTTTATATACATACTCTAGCTTTTAGTGTGTGACTAACAGAGAAGAACAGACTGTTCTCCCTCACCACGATTTTGTAGATGATATCATCTTAAGTCAACTGCTTTCCAGCAGTCTTTTCATAATTTTGCTCATCTTTATTTAAGATGTGCTTGCAGTTTATTACAAAAATAAAGAATCAGATATCTTTTGAGTTTACCTGTCTTGTGAATCTTGTTTTCTCCTTACTTGAATATCAGAAATGTTTATAGAAGATGCCCTACTTTTTGTGGAACTTTGTGAGCAAATTTATGTAAGAGGATAGGACTACTAGTTACAGTAGCTACAAACTACTTAAAGGACCAGTGCTTCATGCTTCTAAAACCACCTGCCATTTCTTGAAGGACAAAACCAGGAGAAGCAATTGCCCCCACATCTTCTTCCCGTAAATGTCAGGTCAACCACTGTGAGAACCATGATATGTCTAAATCAGCATCAATTTAATGCTGACCTTACCATAAGAAAAAAGGGTTAAAACTTTTATTTTTTATATGACACATGGCCTTAATTTAATGTGATATTGAAACTAAGGCTTAAAACTCTTCCTTTCAGAGAAGAAAAGCTTTTCATCTGCTTAGCATGCTATCGAAATATAAATACAGTTTGCAGGAGTGTATACTATAATGTGAACTGGCTGTAAGTGTATCCAGTGCACTTAAAAAAAAAAAAAGCACACAAATTGGTGATGACAAATACAGCTTCGGCATCTATTGTAGCCAGTGTTCAAAGGAAGATACTCTGAAATATTTTAAGAGGAATAAACCACAGGCAGAGATTAAGCTGTCCTTTTCTTTTTCTTTATTGCCATCCAAATCTTGTCAGGGACTAGATGTTTATGCTTTCTCTCTTTTTTCGGGGAATATTGTTCAACATGGTGTATAATAATACTTGCCTTGATTGCCAAGTTTTTGTACCACTTGCATTTAGATGCAGGATTTTCTCATTCATCTTCCTAAAAGATTTAAGGCAGTTTTGGCTGGGCTGACTGTGGATTATACAAGTGAAAAGCAGCAGATTAGGAAAAACTAACCAAATCAAAATGACAGTTGTCTGGTGATAGGCATTTTTAGACACACCCCTTGAACACTTCCTGCTTTTTGAGTCAGGAACTGGATCTTTACTACACCAAAGAAGATGCATGGAAAACCAAGGCATGAGATAGCTTTGCATATTCTGTTGAACAGCTAGAGCTTGCCACTTTGCTTCATTTTCTCACACTATAGTGCAGCAACGCAATGTCTGAAAAATAATTCTCCTGTAATGCTTTTAGCTGTATTCACACTGTGGTAATTTTTTTATGATGCTGTCCTTCACTAATAAAGAGATTGTTTTATATATCTAGAACAAGGAAGTAGGATTCTTTGTATTCCCTGCTTATTCTTCAACATTGGCAAAACTGTTACCTGACAGCACATTCAGCATACTTAGCATTTCTCTAAACTAGGAGTCACCTTTATCCTTAGCTTCAGAACCCAAAACTGGTTCTCTTGCCAGTCTAATTTTACTATTCTATTTCCCAGAGCAGAGAACAAACCCTGAGAATTAAGTATAAACAGCAGTCCTGTTCCTGCTTATTCCCTGCTATTGTATTTGTTTGCTAGCTTTAAATTCTGCCTTCCATCTGGAAACTCAGGATAGCATACATAAAACTCCTTCTGCCAATTCTTTGCCCGCTACAGCCTTGGGAGGTAGGCTGAGTTGAAAGAGTCTCAAAGTCACCCAGGGAGCTTCCATGACAGGATGGACTTGAATTGGTATCTCCTCAGTCTTAGTCCAATATCTAAACAACTGCTCCTCATTCACTTTCACTGTTAGGCACACTGGCACAACATTTCTATTTTAAAATAAGGGGAGATACTGATATATAATTCTTTACTTGCTACTCTTAAGTTGGCAGTGTTGTGCTGTCTGCTCAGTAAATGAATCAGAAGCTAAATGCACTTAATCATGGTACAATAAAACCCTGATGGTACCATGATTAATCTTCAGCCTTGACCCTGTGAAACAGCGCTAAGTCATCATTAACTGAACCAGTGTTAAAGTAGGCTTTCCCCCCTTAAGCTTATACTATCCTACCACAGCTTAACAGTGTGTAAAAACTGTCCTGCTTTATCACCTTTTATTTTAAAGATGAAGTCAGTCGACTGGGTATTTTATTTTATTTTATTTTATTTTATTTTATTTTATAATATTTATATGTCAAATTTATATCACTGTCCAACTCCCTCACAAGGAGGGACTCTGGGAGGTTCACTCTGGGTATAATTGTAGGCATGTGCATTGGGATTGTTGGAAAGTGCAGTCATGCCCCCTTTCTTGTGCTTGTCCTGGATTCTTCATGGTGGAGGTGACCACCTGAATCCAGACACTGTCAATGTCTTTTTACAGGAAAGGGAGCTGCCTACAGTCTTAAAGAAGGCTGAGGTGGGCCCCATTCTGAAAAGCCCATTTCTGAATCTGGGGGCCTTAAATAACTATGAGCCAGTCTCAAACATCCAGTTGGATATCACACCCTATCCAATTTCCCAGAGTTCCCAGATAACATGATAGGACAGCACTCTAGTCACCATTGAAGACTCTATCCATGAGGAGTCAAGTCTTTGGTGAATCTGAGTGACTTTATCTGTCAATAAAGTCTGTGCAAATTGGTCACAAATGCCAGACAGGAAACTTCAATAATGACTGCTTACTAAAAGGGAATTTCTAACCCTAAACAAGCCTCTGGTCACAGCCCACCAATGCAATAAACGAGAAGTGAGAACCCTTTGCTTCCCTTATTGCAGTAGGGTATGCTTGAGTATGAGTATGTACTATAATTGGTTGGATCATTATTTTTTAATCTTTCTCCATTAGCACTTCAGGTATCATTTTTGATACTTCATTTCCTGAAGAGCCTCAGTGAATCAAGGTACCAAATGGGATCAGCCCACAGAAAGAGGCTGCTAGGAGGTAATTGTGTCCAATGGTCTACTTGCCTCCCATTGCCACCAAGCACCAGATTGAACTGCCTGCCAGAGATCTGGGAAACCCCCAAGTTCCAACTGGAAACCACTTGGATCCATTAGGTACCTGGGCCCAACTGTTTAAATAAGGCCTACCCTATGGAGGTTGTGGGTGGCTACCAATCACATGTAGATCAGGGTATGATCTGACCATAGTAACACAGTGATGGAAATCTCCTCAATCTCCAGATCAGGCCAGAGATTACCTGAGACAAGCCCATATTTGGATGCAGACCATTAACTCACAAACTGTCTCAGAGCTGACTCTCAAAACATGGAGGTTGAAATCTCCTATTCCAAAAGATGTGGGGTCTCTACTACTATCCCTGAGGTTGGCTTCAGCAGCTTGGAGACGGATCCTGCCAGGTACCAAGCTGGTACATCACCAGGATCCCAAGCTTATCTCTACTGCCCAACCTAACATATAGATATTCACAGCCTGGTATCTCCAGAGTAGAGTCCCTGATCATGGGTATGGTGTCCCTCACAACCAAAGCCATTCTTCTACCTCAGCATCAATTTTGCTGAAGGACCAAAATCTGGCTGGATAGATCTCAGACAAGGTGTTATTACCTGATATTCTTTACCATATCTCCTTGGCCCAATTCTATAGGTATAAAATAACTCATGGCCCTGTCTTTATCAGTTTCAGTTCCTCTGCTCAGTCTTAAATGAAAGCTGGAGTTCCCCAGCAGTTAATAAGGTTACATTCTCTAGCTCTATAGGACAAAGCTTGTAAGAGCATGCAATGGCCCAAGACTATCTTTCATTTTTTCACGTGAACATGCTATTCTTTTAAGCCTACATGAGAGCAGGGGAGACATGAGAGTAGGGGAGATAGCATCCATTCTCACAGGTAAGAACTTTCTCATAAAAAAAAGAAAAGAAAGAAAACTGTTGATGGCAGTGGGGAGGAAAGAAATGGAACTATAAGGAGAAAGACTTCAGAGAAGAAGAAGGGGGAGGAAGATGATTTGGATGGGGTTCAAAGAAGACCCACCAGAGTAGGGACACTAAGGGACTTATTTCCACAATGAAGATAGCTTTTGTGGGAAGCTGAAGTGAGAGGAAGAGAGTTTCCCGGTTTCCCATCAATCTCAGAGAGAGTGCCAGCTAGTGTATTTAACCCCATATTTATTTTATTTGATTACCTTTATATCCTCCCACAATCAGAATGGACTCTTGGTGGTTTACACGATACAGACAGAATTAAAACATCCATTTATCCTGTAGCATGTGCACATATCAAATAGAGAGATGGTTAACCTTAAAATGATTGAGCAGACTTCATAAATCAAGCATTTTGTTTCCTGCTTTACTACTGCTTATCAGAAAGGCAGATGAGGGAGGCAGGAAAGCAGGACCAAGGAATTCAGCTTAATTAGCTGTTGTTTAGCTGCTGTAATTAAATACTGCTTGATTTGCTTTCCATGCCTATAAATGAAACTAGTATCGACCTTATGTGGCTAATAAAAGTGGGGGGGAAAAACACAAGTGTGATGTGAGTTGAAGCAGATCCTATGAACCCATGAAGCCCTTGTGTACAATCATAGCAGAAGTTGCTTCTCTCCTCCTGGGGTTTTTCTGTCCTGCTGTCTTTCCATATGCTTCTTTATTTCACACAATTGTAGCCCGGGAGATGGCATGTGGGGTAAGAGAAGAGACAGAGAGAAACCAACCCAGGAACCTCTATGAGCTCAAGCAAGGTTCCAAAGTTAAATCTTGCCCACTTGTACCACAGTGTCCTATTGGTAAAAGTTTACTTTATTGGTTGGTGACATGCCGAAAGAAGATGGAAGTAAAACCAGAGGAGAAACCGATCACCTTGCTGATAACAACTGGCACACTACCCAGTCAGGACAAAAACCCCATTTGGCAGTGAAGCAGAACAGATGCAACAGGGAAGCAGAATAAGATACGTATTATTATTATTATTATTATTATTATTATTATTATTATTATTACTACTATTACTATTACTATTACTATTATTATCTAACATTGCTTTGTGCTGACTCAAGGATAGATGCATAGCACTTGAACACAAAAGCAGGACAAGGCCCCAAAGGTATACAATGTGTTAGTTTCAGCTTGTAGAGATTGTCCAAATGTTTAGCCTTAAAAATCAAGCCTCCTTCACATTGACTTGACTCCTGTTGTTTCTTGGCAGCAAGAAGAGGGTTGCCCCTGCTGCCTTCTAAAATTATTGTTTACTTTTTACCAGGCCACAACCCTGGTATTCCCTGATGGTCTTCTGACACTTCTGTTTAGCTTTTGGGCCCAGACAAGTTGCCCAGCTAACAAAGACTAACTAAAGGATTGAATAACTTCCAAGAAGATGCTAAGCACTGCATACTAATGTGTGGCACTTTTTGTTGGAGGCTGAGAAGTTTCAGTGTCCAATTATTGACCAGGATATTGTTCATTACTTGCTTTGATCACTTCCTTTCAGCCTTTACTGGGTCAGTAGTGTTTGGATATAATATTTCCAGCTGGGGAAAGCAAAACAAAGGTTGGTAGATACAAGATATCAAGAATTCTAAGGACTGTATTATGTTGAGAAAGTTAATGAGAAATAATTCAAGATGCATTCAGGCAGCCACAATCAAGCATTGGGCAGATGTGCAATTTGACAAAGTTGCCACCAGGTGACAGCAAAGGGCGAAAC